ACTAGTAAAGGTAAGATCTGGAATAAATCCGGTTAGTGAGGGCAAGACTCAAATAAACCAACAGCCTCACTAACTTCTTTTTTTTTACTTCTTTTATGCGATTATATTTTTTTTTTCTTCAAACGATCTTCGAATCGCTTTCTTTTTATGTGTCACGTTCTTTCTTGTGCCTCTTTTTAGTAACTAATAGTAATCCGCCATCATATTTTCGTCCCATTTACCTTCGTATCTTCTCTCAATTTTCTTCAGGTCTTGGTGAAATCGCTCGCCTTATTCCTTACTATAGTGTCCTAGATTTTCGGGAAAGTAGTAGATGAAAGTGGAGAAAATGCAATTTTAAATTTATAAGACATCCTAATTTGTTATAGTTCGGTAACATGGTTCCGATAATTTTTTTATAATTTTATAGTTTATCTGTGTCTTATCTTTACTAGCCGGATTCATTCCAGATCTTGCCTTTACTGGGCGGATCATTTCGAGATCTTGCCTTCAAGGGTATATGAATTTAGGGTGTATAGGTTTGAAGTTTATGGGTTGAGGGTTCAAAGAACTTAGTTTAGTTAATTTAATTTATGATTATAGTTCTACGTAGATAGGAATTTGTAATCTGCGTTATTTTAATGTTAATTATGTGATTTTCGAGTCTCTTATCACGTGTATCTCATAAATGTGATGTGATACGAATTTTTGGGAAACAGATTCTGTTCAGTCAAAATATGTAGGAAAGTTGGTTTTCTCCTTCTGGAACAAAATACTTTTTTTATTTCGTGGTCCTGTGTAATTGACGCATAAGTAAAGAAATTAATAAGGACAATAAAAGATAAGTGAGACATTTTCGTATTTTCGACATTACATATATGTTTATCTTTCTTTTAATTTTGTTTCAAATTAACATTTATTACTTAGATAATGAAGTAAAATTATAAAAGTTTTGTTTGATATATAATAAATGTATGAGTATATTTGATGATGGTTCTTAATGCTGCCACTAAAAATCACCGCGCAAACGAACAGCAATTTTGAACCAAAGACCGATATATTCGAGTGGCATAACACACGGTGTGACGATATGTTTTAAGTAAAAAGCTCATTTTCGCTACACTCATTTGTATCTTTCTCACTTAAAATTGGGCAAATATATCGCGCAAATCTATTATCGTTTCATAAATATCGCTTTTATTAAAATGAAAAAAATTATAATCATAAATATGGAATATCTTTCCGACGACAACATACTACACATTTTTCACGTGCGGCTGCTTTACGAAAGAGAGAAGAACTAACTTTCGCCATTAATTACCTCACGCGCAACTTAAGAAAAAGCGCCATTAACCGTAGTTTGATTAATTAAGACGTAGATTGTAACGACTGAACGATATTAAAACTACCGCGGCTCATTGCGTCGAAAGCGACACGTTCGTGTAAGAAAATGTTGGGAAGTCTCTTTCGTTCTTGCGTTTATTAATCGTAAATAAATACGTAAAATCAAACGTCCGTCGTTTCGCCGTCCGCGGAAATGATCGCGTGACGATTATGCGAGCAATAACGGTAATATATAAATATTATATATAAATATTAATATAATATTAATATTATTATATATAATATATAAATATTGATAGGAAAAATGATTAGTTTCATGAAAATATTATTGTATTTATTTTTCGGCATCAATTATATCTTCTTGTTGTTTTAATCAAAAGTGGCACAGTAGCAACATATCATCTACAACATATTGTTTTATAATATTAACATTTATATTATATATATATATATGTGTTTATATTTATATATGCAACATATTATAATAACATAATATTAATGTTGGGTGTATAATTCCGTAGCAAAATTCCGACAGATGTCATTCGCAGTTGTTTTTCCACTCGCACATTTGTCAAACATATGGAGTGCCGTACATTAAGTGAAAGCTGAAATTTGTGTCGACATTTTAAGAAAATATTCATCGAGATCCGTATGACGTATATAAAATTTAATTATATTTTGAATATGGAAAGGGAAAAACGTGTATTTTCGGTGCATTTCGCTTTTTTATTTCCGCAAAGACAAAAACGTCGCAAACTCACAAAAAGATATGTGCCGTGTAAGATAAGAATGCCGTAAGCGTGTGTCGGAAGTGGTTTGCGAAATTTCGTTGCGGAAATTTTGATCGAAGATGGTCCTCGCTCTGGTCGACGAATCACCATTGATGTTGACCAGATCAAGGCTTTAATCGACTGCATTTGACGACTACAGAAATCGGACATAACTTCAACATTCACCAATCAATTGTTTCGAGACATTTACGGAAGCTTGGGATAGTAAACAAGCTTGATGTTTGGGTGCCGCACAAACTAAGCGAAAAGAAGTTAATGGACCGAATTTCAGCTTGCAACTCGCTCAAATGCCATCAAAACGAACCATTTTTAAAGCGGATGATCATTGGCGATGAAAAATAGATTATTTACAACAATGCAAGTCGAAAAAAATCGTGGTCGAAGTGCGGAGAAGATGCTCAGACGGTCGCGAAAGCTAGATTATATCCGAAGAAAATCATGCTCAGTATTTGGCGGGATTGGAAAGGAATCATCTATTATGAGCTGCTGCCACCCAAAAAATGATTGATTCGACCAAGTACTGCTCACAACTGATCCAATTAAAGCAAGCAATCGATCAGAAGCGACCCGAATTGGACAAAAAAGGGCGTTGTGTCCCACCAGGACAATGCCAAACCACGTTTCTCTGATAACCCGGCAAAAATTATTGCAGTTTGGGTGGGATGTTTTGGTGTATTCATCATATAGTCCGGACCTTGCATCTTCAGTCTATCACTTGTTCCGGGTGCTACAGAACAATTTGAATAACAAAACCTTCAGTTTCCTGGACGTCTTCAAAAACCATTTGGCTGACTTCTTTGCTCAAAAATCTCAGGACTTCTGTGAAAGAGAAATAATGAAGCTCGTGCAGAGATAGCAGAAAGTCATTGAACAGAGTGAAACATATTTATATAAAATCGCTTTTTTTGCTACATATTTTGCGTTTGAAATTTACTCGATTTTCGTCACGGAATTATATATAGACCCAATATATTAAAAATTATTATCAGTATTAGGCGACCATCCAGACGTTATGTCGAATAAGTTTTCTTTGTAACATGGTTATGCTGTTTTTCTCGTATATCTTATACTTATAAATCCCGATTTATGCTGCTCCATTTCACAGATTTAACGGAAAACCCAAACTTTTTTATTTTTAGCTTCTGATTTTATTTATAAAGGTAATGTTCTTTGGAATATTCCTGAACGAAGCAAACTCTTTCAATATAGACATACACAAGCTATAGAATTTTTATATCGGGCAAATCTTTACGCTAACTGGTCGAGATATCAATTTAAAACATTTTTTATCGTTCTTTTCATATACTGAGCGACGCTCTAATTCTTGCGTGTACTTTTATCGTGCAAAATCACTTGTAATTTTTGTTACCAATACGATATAAATTTTGTAGAAAAAGAATTAGTATTTTGTCGGTTAAATGTTTAAGTATATTGCATTTCTTTAACCTGTGATGATTATGTTTACATACATATTTGAAAAATAATTATATATCGGGCAATTTTGTTATTAAATCGATTCATTTTTGTTATTTATCTGTTTATTCTATAATTTGTATTCAAACTCGGATCTAAATTCTAAATCCAAACTTTGGTTTTACATCTAGATCTTTTATTGTAGTTTGAAATTAGATTCGAATAATTCGGATTATCCAAATATGTTTTTAGATAAAAACCGATCTCGGATATCTAGATAGTTGGATATTCAATATTATGTGATATAGTAGCAGACATTTTTTACTTACAATCAGTTAAGCTTGCGATATTCTGTCCCGCTCGTTTGTTACTACGGAATTCGTTATCGTCGTAATAGGCCAAACGGTCACGCGGAGCGCAAATAAACCCCATTTCCGGACGAGAAATAACGTAAAGACGGAGCACGTGGCTGATGGCGGACCCTTTACGATCGCTTAAACGTGGCTGGTGTTATTTCCGTGTCGCGGACAGCACTCGGTGTAATAAATCGACAAATAACGGTCCGTAATGCGCGCACTCGTGCATTCGTGGATACGATGCGAAGATATGGCCGTAATATATTATACATCTTCCCGTATATACAGAGATCATCTATATACAGATTCCTCGTTACTCTTCCTCAAATTCTCGTTGTTCATTTAAATTCTTTGCAAGCTTACATCGAGTCTACACCTTGACAGCAGTGTCTGCTGCAATTAATCTAGTAAATTAATTGTTTTTACATAAATACTTAATGTAAATTTATTACTGTATTTAAAAAGATAAAAAGCGGACAAAACGACTAAATCTCGGTATTACATCAGATCTCATCATACAAAATATATTTGAGTAAAATTGAATAACTATCGAGTTAGATAACTGTTTGGCGTAAGAATTTGGAAACTGTACAATTGAATCAATATTAGAAAAATTTATTTAATTATGTAATTGCACGTATGATATAAATTATTTTTTTCCAATTGAGAAGAAATTGAAGATATAATTCTATCTTTCAATGTTGATTCAATTCTGCAATTTCTAAATTCCTACATTAAACAGTTCATTCAAGTAAATTGTTATTCAATATGACTTGAATGCTTGTATGACTTTTATATGATAAAATTTGTGTAACATCGAGATTTAATTTTTTTTACTTGATATTTTTAAATACAATATTAAATTTACATTGAGTATGATATTTATATGTAAACAATTAGTTTATTGCATATAAAGACTAGTGTCGAAACGAAACGCTGCTGTCAAAGATTCGATGTAAATCAGCGAAGGATTTAAACGAACAACGAGAATTTAAGGAAGAGAAGGAAATCTAATTGCGCATTACAAATAATTCTATCCTTGAAAAGTTAAAGAAATCAGACGATAAATACTAGGTTATTAAATATGAAATGTCCGATTTCGAATCAAAAGTTTGGTTTATTATCTCTTAAATTAGAAATAATACAATTAATCAAAGTGTGCACCTAAACTATTGACACAGTTTTGCCACCTTAACGATAGCTTATTTATGCCAACAACGAAAAAGCCTGAAGAACGGGTGGCGAAGAAATCGCGGAAAGCGTTTTCCACAGCTCGTTGAGAGTTGAATACTTTTCCTTAAAAGAAGTGGTCCAGTGTCTGAAAGAACTGATAGTCAGTTGGTGCAAGGTCTGGTGAATACGGTGGGTGACAGAGAGTTTCCAAGTCCAGCTCCTGTAGTTTGAGCAGCATTATTTGTGTGACATGTGGTCGAGCGTTGTCGTGCAAGAGTATTGCCTGTTTCTATTGACCAATTTCGGCTGTTTAATCACAAGTATCCTCATCATTTCATCCAGTTGGTTACAGACATCCGCTGTAATCGATTGGCCAGGTTTCATGAAGTTGTGATGGATCAGCGCTGGACCACCAAACAGATATCATTAGCTTTCTTTTGTGAATATTCGGTTTTGGCATTTCATCTATAATCAATTATTATGTCAAGCGCTTGCGATTGTCGAAAAGAATCCATTTCTCATCACACATAACAATACGATGTAAAAATAGTTCGCCTTTATGTGATAGTAAAGAAAGATAAGCTTTGAGACAATTTCTCTTCTGACGCTCGTTTGATTTATGCGGAATCCATCCACCCAACTTCTTTATTTTGCCGATTTATTTCAAATAGTCCAATATTGTTGGAATAGTAACGTTAAAATTTGCTGCTAATTCACTCGTAGTTTAAGATGTATCTGCTTTCACTATAGCTTTTAGTCTATCATTATCTACCTTGGTTTCAAGTCGCCCATGTGACTCATTTTCAAGATTAAAATCGTTAGAACGAAACTTCTCAAATCATCGACGTACTGTGTGTTCATTAGCCACATCTTCACCAAACACTTCGTTGATATTTCGATTTGTCTGCGCTGCATTGGATCCGCGACGGAACTCATGTTCGAAAATAACACGAACTTTTGACTTATCCATGGTATACAAAAATTGCTGTAATAAAAATAATTCGAAATCACAATTCATAATCACAAACAAAAACATATGTTTAAAAGAGTGATGGTATACTTTTGCAACAAAAAAAAGTCAAGAACTGTAAAAGTGAAATGTCAGAGATATCGACTGTCGAACTTAGTACTTAAAGAAATGGGACATTTTATATTTAATGAACTAATATACAAAATGTCTGGGATCTTTTGGAAACGAAATTATATGACGGCTATTATGTCTGGCGATAGATTCAAGATTCGGGATTCAAAGTTTAATATATTCATATCTATCGCTAGACACAATAGCCATCATATAATTGTAGATTAGGTCATTCTGAACTTTTTGTTCAGTCCTTTACCATTTTGCAAATAAGTATGCAAATTTTCACGTTATCGATTAAAAGAGATATGAGCATTTTTAATCATTAATAACGTAATAACTATTGCAGCTAACTATTTTTGCAAAATGGTATTTGACTTTTCTTCTCACAATTTAATTTGATTAATCTTCACAATTTTTCGTTTCCAAAAGATCCCGGACACGCGGACATGTAGGTCAATTTTATTAACATTCTAATGATTTAAATTTTACCCTTGATTTACCCTTGTTTTGTATAAACATTAGATTTAAAAACTTGACTCACAGAAACAACAAAAAGACATTTTTTGAAAGACATTTGACAAAAATGGCACAAGAGTCATTAACCTTTTATGGCACATTTCGCATCTTTATGTTTTTTGCTAATTACAAATCTAAAATCAGATTTTAGAAATCCAAAATAGCAGATCCAATATCGCTGTTATATAGGAGAAAATTATAGTAAATTTGAATAAATGTAAATTAGATACATGATATAAACGTTTTTCAGATTGTTAATTATAAAATTTATGGCAGAAGACAAAAACTGCCAATGTGTAGAATTAATCGTCGCCTTGATGCCACAATCTGAATGGCCGCTACGACACAAATACGAAACGTGAACGCTTCCAAATGTCTCACCTTTCCAACAGCAAGAAACGAGAGAAACCGCAAAGTGACTCCGAAATTTTAGTTAACGATATGTCCATGCGTTATCGATAATTAATTCCGCGCTCGGCTGACGCAAAGATCATTGTTCGCGAAAATTCCGTGCGCTTCATTTCCCGACCACCGTTAATCGCGCGATAAAGCTAAGAATTTCGGGAATGCCCGGCATTTCGCTCGTTACCGGCTCGTTGCAGCGTCGAAACGGAACTGAACGGCATGCCACGGAACGAAGCGAAACGAGACGGAGCGGAACGTCCCAGCTCACTGCAAAATGCTAGAAAATTTGCAAAATCCGTCCATAATACGCAATGGTCCGCAACGATGTTGCCCAATGATCGACGTTTATGTCTACGCGGCTGTGGCGGCGCGGCGTCGGCAGCGGCAGCGGTCGCGACATTATCCAATTTTCCGCGGTGCAATTTCGACTCGTACAGGCGGATGGCGTGGGTGGTGGCAGTCGTTCGTTCTCTCTCGTTGCAGTTTTGCATGTCCAAGGCTGTGCTGCTGCAGCTGGCGCAACACACACGGTGCTTGCCGATGCCAATTCATAGATACTGGCTTCTATTACTCCTCCAATGAGCCTGTACGAAAGCTACAATGATGACTTCCTATTATTATCGTCATAGGGAGAAGGAAGTACAAATTCCACCACCGGAGGCACGTTTGGACATTTTAAATATCCACGACCACAATCGACAGATTCCGCGCTTATTAATCGCGCTTTTAAAGAATGAGACTGTTACACTCTTAATGAACGTAAATGTGCCCTTTCTTTCTACTTTATTCTCTATTATATGTGTGTACAAGTGCGTGCTGAAATAGCGCCAGGTAAGAAATTAAGAGAAAATTTAATATTGGGATTCAAAACTTGATATGTTTGGGTTGCATTTAAATTCACTTATATGAAACGCGCGCGCACACGTACATATTATATAATAATTAATATATATTAATTCCATGGATACATATTATAATTAATACTATATAGTATATAAGTATATATTATATATAGTATATAATATATATAATATATAATATATATAACAATTACATATTATAATTACATATTATAATTAACTTATATTAACTCTTTGAGTATAGGTAACGCAACGAAAAGGATTTCTGTGTAATCGACACTCAGCAAAATTGATGAAAATTTCACTTGTGACTAATATGAGGTAGAATAGAAATAAATTATTGATATAAATTTGAAATAAAACCGATCAATTATTGCTAGGAATTAGAAAGAATAAACGTGTAAATATCCTTGTAAATTTTAATAATGATTTCTTTATATTTATTACGCAACTCGGAAGCGCCAAGTTTTTGAGTCTCGATATTAAATCTTTTTTTAACTTCTTATCTGAATATTTCAACGTACAGTTATTAATTTAAGAATAAAATTTGCATATCAATAAAATTTATATAATATTCGATAAAATTCATATGTATTGTTCGCCAATATTATGTGCATAGATAGAATATCAATAGATTAATATATTAAAACGTGCAAGAAAGAGGGACAGCTAAATATTTCTTGCTTAAGTCAATGGAAATTTACATCAATGAAAATTTTAACATTTAGGTATTGATAGTATATCAGTATTTGCATTGAGTATTTATATTGTATTTTGTATTGAGTTCATATTTATTTTTTTTTTAAATTATTTTTTTTAATCGATTATACATACGGTTTCTTTGCTCAAATGTCTTCGATATTTATCATTTTTCTGTACATTTTCATTTCTGTTAGAATTTCTGTCACAATTTCTGTTAGAACTTTTATTAAATTTCTATTGCATATATACCTTAATTGCTTTTTAAAATGTGCAAAATTATATACATGCTATTAATCTCATCTATTTTTTAATAAAATTTGTCTGAAACAATTAAAATTTTTTTCTTTTCTAATGTATTTATATTTATTCTTTAGCAAAATTAATGTTTGAAACAATTCCTAATAAAATATGAAATTTCAATAAAATTTCTTCTTTTAAACATTATCAATATTTACAAATTCTTTCCGTTTTATGATTATTTTTGCAAAAATTGTTACTATTTTATTTTCTTTCTTCATCTGAATTATTTTTGTTCAGATTTTTATTAAATTTTATTAAATATATAATTTAATAAAAATTTATTTGATTAGAAAAAATGTATTAATTTTCTGGGTTCTCCTAAACATGTTTTTTGAAACTTTTTATTTCTTTTTGTTATATACTTATTTGTTATATACATTTTTTATATACTTAGCATTATCCCCATATGTTTTTATAGCATTTTCAACACGTCCGCACAAGAAATTTGGTTGAAAACACACAATTTAAGGCAAACTCTTTGCTCCACAATATTCATCATAAAAATCGCAGATGATACCTGAAGTCGACTGACATGAATAGCTGCCACGGACAAACTAATTGACAGATCGCGCTCTAATTCTGTGTCATTTAAATAAAGATAATAATGTGAGAATATTGTTAAGCACGGTATGTTGTGTCGCCCGTCATTTGATTGCCGGTCAACTGATGCTGAGCAGACGATATGATGGGCCGTGCCATCGAAAAATCAATAAAAAAGATATCTTTTTAAAGGTTATTATTATTCAAGAAAAACCTGACGACAAAAAATGTACGTAACATAAGTTTTTACATGTAAAATTTATAAAACTTACCTTTTTAAACAAAAAGGTAAAAAAAAGCGCCAAGTACAAGCGCAACACGTATTGTGTTATTTTTAGAAATTTCAAATGCAAATTATTTTCTTTTAAGGTATATATGTGTACATAACATAAGTTTTTACAAGTAAAACTTTTATTATTTTTTATTATAGTTATAAGTTTTACAAGTAAAACTTATAACTATAATAAAACTCTACAACACTATTCTACTGTACAAAAGAAGTGATATATTATTATTAGGTGCACAACTTTGCTTCCGCCGTTTTCCTATAGATGGCTTTAGCGGTAAGTAGTGGTCGAAATAAATAGATCATAGACGTCATGCAATAAACTTGGGCATCTGTCAACATAACCCCATAGAAACATTAATCGATTTGTGTCTGCATCGTAAAGTTATTCTCGATTGAAAATGTCAGTTTACGAGCCAAATTCTCGTCATTTGCGGGAGGTTTTAATTTTCTGCTTCAATATGAAGAAATCTGCGGCTGAGGCTCATCGAATACTCTCAAATACTTATGGTGAGGTCGCTATATATGAAAGAACGTGTCGTGAGTGGTTTCAACGCTTCAAGAACGGTGATTTTCACGTCGAAGACTAGCATAGCGGTGGAAGAGAGAAGGATTTCAAAGATGCAGAATTGGAGGCATTACTTAATGAAGACTCGTGTCAAAGTCAAGAAGAATTGGCACGATCATTGGGAGTGGCTCAACAAGCAATTTCAAAACGCCTCAAAGACATGGGAATGATTCAGAAGCAAGGAAGTTGGGTGCCGTATGAGTTGAAACCAAGAGATGTTGAACGGCGTTTGTTTGCTTGTGGACAGTTGCTTGAAAGGCAAAGACGGAAAGGATTTCTGCATCGCATTGTGACTGGGGACGAAAAATGGGTTCATTACGACAACCCCAAGCACAGAAAATCATGGGCATATCCACGTCGACGGCCAAACCGAATATTCACGACTCCAAGGTCATGCTCTGTATTTGGTGGGACCAGCTCGGCGTAGTGTATTATAAGCTGTTAAAACCGACTGAAACAATCACAGGCAATCGTTATCGAACGCAATTAATGCGTTTGAGCCGAGCATTGAAAGACAAACGGCCGTAATACAACGAGAGACACGATAAAGTGATTTTGCAGCATGACAATGCTCGACCCCATATTGCGAAAGTGGTCAAGATATACTTGGAAACATTGAAATGGGAAGTCCTATCCCACCCGCCGTATTCTCCAGACGTTGCTCCCTCTGACTATCACTTGTTTCGATCAATGGCACACGGCCTGGTTGACCAGCACTTCCGGTCTTATGAAGAAATAAGAAATTGTATCGATTCGTGGATCGCTTCAAAGGATGACCAGTTTTTTCACGCGGGATTCGTACGCTGCCTGAAAGATGGGAGAAAGTAGTGGCCAGCGATGGACAATTCTTTGAATCATAAATGTATAACCAGTTTTTTACAATAAAGCCTCTAATTTCCGAAAAAAAAACGGCGGAAGCAAAGTTGTACACCTAATAGGTATACAAATGAATAATCCAAATTATTTTAAGTAGTTATGAAATCAATTTTAAATTGAGTAGATTTTCCCGCTCTTTTGTGATTATGCAATATTGACATATAGCTATTAAAAAGAACATATAGTTTGGTGAAAGGCCCAACATAACCTTCAAAAGTATTCAGTTGAAAATGGCAACAGATAAGGTGCATATCCGACACTGCATTCTTTACGAATTCCAACAAGGAAAAAATGCTGCATTACGCAGCATTCATACTCGAAGAGTCAAGAATAAGGAGAATATTAATTCGCAAAATGTTGGAGTCGAAAAGTTGGGTGCTACGAGCAACCTCTCGTATATTGTCATATATTTGTGTATTATGATATTTATTTATATTTCTTCCATTTCCCGGAAATCATCAAACGAAATTGATTCTGAATATATAACAAGTTGTATATAACAACTTGTTATATAACAATATATAACAAGTCTATATTTATCTTTTATTGAATATTATTACATATATTTTTCCGGAGCTTCTTTTTATGATCTGTATTAAGTTTAGAAGAAATAAAACTCGAGTTCTATATACAATACACTTTATGAATTTAGTGTCCAATGTTTTTCTGATATGCAGCGGGTTGAAATGCATATTTTTAAGAAGAGTATTCAGGTATTATTATCTTGAAAAAATATAATTCTAATTCAATTCTAATTCTAATTTAATATATTATTTATTTTATAAAATGCACAATTTATTCGTACAAATAAATATGTATGTACTGCCTAACAATTTATATGTTATCTCTCTTATTATTGTTAAAATAAGGTTACAAGCTGATATAACACGGTTGTGCTGTTAGCGCCATAGAACGGCAAATTCATTAATTTAATTTTTACCTGGAACGTGTCCAGTAGAGAGTAGAGTAACAAATCTTTTACATTGACTGCGTTCGGAAATCACAATAGGTGTGTAACTGCTTAAAAATATTTTCTATGATATATTTTTAGATTCAATGTATTAACGATATTCTTCTTCAAAAATTCAATCTGGCAGGAGTTTTACCTGTCAGGTACCTGAGGGTCCTGGATTGTTTGGATCAGTATCTAACTCAAACAAATTACTTAAATTCTTAATGATAAATAAATACTTATTGCGATAGAACACGTCATTGTCCTCAAAATTTCTGTATGCCTTCAAAGAACTGAATGTATTTTCGTTTGGACATAGACCTGCTAATGATCCAGCACCCAGAGTTGTTCTTAATATCTGTATGTTCCGTTCGCATTTGGGGTATGATGCACCGGTTACTATAAAAGGGCAAGATTGTTCCTTTAACTTTGAAATTATTTCCGTTCGTGAATTCCACTCACTGATATCTGCTTCAAACGCTATAATTATATCCGGTGGATGACATATAAGTATTGTATTAACATAATTGCTAAGAGGCACGCGATAACTTTGAAAATCGAACATCTTACGATTATGTTTACACGTGTTACAAACATCGACAGTCATGTGTGCGTCTTGTGTTTCTGGCCCTATCAATATAACTTCTAAATACTTTATTGTTTTGGATAAAATATGCAACATAATTTCCCAGGCTCGTACATATCGTGCATCTAAAATAGTTGCGGCTATTACATGAATAACATAGTGAGATTTTTTTATATGTAAGTTTACATTGTTCATTCCATAATATAGTGTCAACGGTCCTGATAGGTAATCAGAATGAAACTGGAGCAAATACTCAGACTCAAACTGCGCAAATGTATTCAAGAATTGTTGTATGTTAACGATTCTAACTCTATTAAAGCTAACGGTATTAAGTTTATTAAATTTTTTTTCGGAAGATTTTGTGATATTTTTGAAAATTTTACGATCTATCTCGAGACACAACATCAATTTGGGGCAATTAGATATCTTATGATTTTTGAAGGCTTCTTCATGATTCGAACAATAGTTTATCCAATAGCATATCGTACAAGTTTGAAGATTACGTTGTTCATGACAAATAAAGCACGATTTAGCCAACATGATCATTTGTATTTCGTACAACTTCATATCACGTCGTAACGCTTCTTTAACTAAATTTAAAAGCTTTTTCTTCGACTTAATCCAATTCTCCTTTGAGTCATTATAAGTGTGCCACAATTGCAGGTTACTCTGCGAAAATGTTGTTAAAATTCCGCAGATATCTTTATGATACCCTTCATCTACTAATTTATGATATCTGCTACAATAAAGAATCATGTTGCAAGAACAACATGTATTACATTCTATCTGCAGTTGTTCTGGTGTTTTCTTGCACACATGACAAATATTCGGATTGAAGAAGTCACAATAAGACTTAACTTTTAAGTCACTGTTCACCCATGGTGAGAAGAACGATGATGTATCAGGCATACTAATATTATGTGAGCATCCTGGAGTATTTGGGTCATTATATGACCTTAGATCACGTAAACTCATAATGATAAATAGATACTTATTGCGATAGAACACGTCGTCGTTATCGAAACTTCTGTATGCCTTAAGAGAACTAAACTTATTTTCGGTTGGAGTTAGATCTTTTAGTGATCCACCTAGAGCATGATTTAACATCGCTATGTTTTGTTTGCATTTGGCGAACGACGAGGCGGTTACAATAAAAGGGCAAGGTTGTTCTTTTAACTTTGAAATGATTTCCGTTTCTAAATCCCATGCACTAATATCTGCTTCAAACGCTATAATTACATCCGGTGGATGACGTGTAAGTATTGTATTAACATAATTGCTAAGAGGCACGCGATAACTTTGAAACTCCAACTTCTTCTCATTGTGATTACATTTGCTACAAACCTCGACATTTTCACGTGCCTCTTGCATTTCTGGTCCTATCAATACAACATTTAGATGACATTTCCGTGACATTTTAAATGTATGCAATATAATTTCCCAGGCTTGTACATATCGTGCGTCTAAAACAGTTGCGGCTATTATATGAATAACATAGTGAGATTTTTTTATATGTAGATTGTTCATTCCATAATGCAGTGTCAATGGTCCTGATAGGTAATCAGAATAGAAGTGAGATACATACAGACTACTAAAATGAAATAATTGAAAGAATGTTTGTATGTTAACGATTTTAATATTATCAAAGTTATCGGGGGTTATAACAGTAAATTTACTTTTTTTGATTGTCTCGACTGAAATTTTACGATCTATTTCGAGACACGACTTCAACGTCTCGCACTTAGGACTGTGCCAAACTTTGTAGGCTGCTTCATGTTGCGAACAATAGTTCACGGAATAGCATACTATACAAGTTTGAAGATTATGTTGTTCATAACAAATAAAGCATTTTTTAGTTAACATAATCATTTGTATTTCGTACGGCTTCATATCACGTTGCAACTCCATTTTGACTAAATGTAAAAGATGTTTCCTCGACCTGATCCAATTATCGTGCAACAAATTGGAAGTTTGCGACAATTCTATGTGTTTACGTAAAAGTGTTTTTAAAATTCCGCAAATTTGTTGATGATTCACTTTATCACTTAATTCATGTTCGCTGCTACAATAAAGAATCATGTTGCACGAGGGACATATATTGTTCCTTTCTCCAAGTTCTGGTTCTTTTTTGCAGAAATGACAAATATTTGGATTGAAGAAGTCACAATATGACTTTGCTTCTAAAAAATGGGTCGACCATGGTGAAAAGAACGGTGATATATTAGACATTCCGATATTATAGTCCTCTTGTTGATGAGACGACGAGATTTTTCTGTCGAATACATGACAACATTTTGATGCAACAAATATTTACAGAAGTGCGTTATTTGTAATATTAATTTAGAAATAATGTGCGGAACTCGTTACCTCTTAGCGGGAATAAAATTTCTGCTTCCACAGTTTACGCGTTCACTTAGTGACTGTTCGGAGAAAGTCAAGGAAATTACATATTATGTTGTTATATTTGTGTATGATTATGTTTATTTATATTTCTTATATGTCTTAGAAATCACCAAACGGATTTGTCTCTAAAGATATAACGGAATTATACTTTGTTTAATATTATTACATAAATTTCTATGGACCTTTCCATTTGTAATTTGTATTATGTCCCTTCATAAATATCATGATGGCATATTAAACGTCAGCAATATAGGCACCAGCATTATACGTCTTCTGAGGCATGTATCAAGTTCACTACGATGTTCAACGAATATAAACGTATACACAGGCGGGCTCACGCGTGCTGATATGTATAAATGTGCCTGTATTTGGTTTACTTTGGACCGTTGAATTTCATGGGTTGCTTTTTGTACTATGAAATGCGCTATAGTAGAGTGTATTTGCAAAGCGGTTAATTATCAATCCATTTCTGTCCATCCAAATAAACTAAAATGAATTATGCAGCAGGAAGAACACACTTCCTGGATAACAAAAGTAATTAACGGTCAATCATTTCGACGCATTGATACTTTTTATATTTTCGTCTTCTTGAGATCCGAATGTAACAATTATACGTAGTATAACTCGTAATTGGAAGAATAACATCTGTTTTTAATACAAACAATTTATTTCCTTTTATGCTGTAAAATTCCATAATGGATATTATATAATTTTTCATGGAATAATATATAATGTAAACAAACTTCCCGATCAAGTGCGCTTTAGAATTATTGGAAATTTTAATACTTATTGAAGTAATTATTTAAAGAGAAATAACAAACATGTATTAACATTATCACTTAGCGAGAGGGCGAGAAAGAGGGAAAGAGAGAGGGGAGGATTGGGAGAGAGGAAGAAGTTTAGACAAGGAGAGATAGGGGAGGAGGTTGAGAGAGAGGGAGAGAACGGGAACAGACGATAAAAAGAAGGCTAGGAGAATGGGAGTCATCCTACAGTGCTGCGAAGCGTTTGTTTTCATGGAAGAAGCCGTTTTATGAAACGTGACATAGAAAGTTTTTCTTTTCGCAAACTGAAAATTTTGCTAAAAACTGTAGTGCCTGAAATGTAAAAAGACGCATAAGGACACAAATGTTTGATCAAATAGTGACTTAACAGTTCTATAAATATAAACGAATCGAAAGAACTATTTATGTGTAAAACTGTATTAGAGATCCATATTCTTCGACGTAAATGCTACTAGGAAAGTACTAAAATTGAATTCATAGTTTAGTATACTTATACATTGTGGTTTTATAATAAGCTAATATCAGTTCTCGACGTCCTGATATTTCTTATACCATAATCCAAATCATGAATAAGCCCCATAGAAAGGAAAGAAATGTTTATTCATGTTATGTACATTGAGTTACATTGTGTGAATAGTTGGTGTATATCATAAGTTTCGAGCATTATTTGTACGAGGAAACAAGGGCCTTTTGTACAAATGTGCGTCTAAACGATTTAAAAGCGAAAAACTACAGTCAGAATGCAGGTGCTAAGCACAGACGCTACCAGCGCCGGTTTGACTCGCGTACGTTTATTCGTTGGGTGGACAGTGGACTTTCAACATATTATGACAAATGCTAGCAGAATAAAACAACATACGTAGCATCCACGTCCTTTATATGTCACAGTTAGGCTTTAATATTGAGAGAAATATAAAGTGTGCGGATTTCAAGGTTATGGCCTTAACTAAGCATATATTTTCAATAGATTATATTATAACCATTTGTCAGGATTATTCAATTAAATTACATTTGTTATATAGAACACTAGAGAAACTTTGTTGCTATAACAGCTTACAGAATTCTTCCCCAAAGTCGCCTTCTCTTCCAGCGACCACTGATATAAATTTGTCTTTAACGGACTGAAGCGTTCATAACTCGCATTGTTTCCAGCGACTCTTAAAATTCGTTCACCCTTCGTATGTGTTCTTCTCGCACTTTCACACTTACCGCTCTTCGCCTTCGTACGCGATCTCTTTTTCCCAAAAACCGTCAATCCACTTCTCTCGAGGATCGTAGTCCTCTCTTTTTAAATTCGCAGTGCTACCAACTTTATATAAATATCTCTTTCTGAAGTTCTATACAAATAAGCTTTCTAATAAATAGTGTCTTATATCCAAATTACAGTAATCAAATTGATATTTCTTACAGACGAGCAATATTCAGAAGATATAATAAATCAAGTTGAATATGTATTTGCAGTTTAGACAGGTAATTGAATGAAGTAGTTTTGCTCTTCATGTTGTTAATAATATAACCCCACGAAAAAGAAGTGGTCGGTGCCTAGAACCGGACAAGTATATTATTATGTATTTTGATCTGCTGAATCCGAATCCGAGGTCAGAATTGGACAATTACTAGCTTTATCATCCCTAGCCTCAAAAAACTGATCATAACTTCACTTAACAAAATTAAGCTGTATATGGTTGAATTCAGCATAAAAAATGCAACAATTCTTGTCATTACAAAAATTTTCAATTTGCAAAAATAAAGATGATGGAAGGGGAATATAAAAAATATAATATTTTTAAGAAATCTAGCTATACAGTTGTAATGAGCGTCAAAAACCATACAACTTTTATCTGAAACATTTTTTTGTATCTTTTATAGTTTTTGAAATATACTCTCTCAAAACCAGGTATACTGATATACCTTTTAAGGGTGATTTTAACTGACTGTTTCGAGAATTGGAAAAAACGTTGGCATAAGTGCATTGTGTCGGACGGGGAGTACTTTGAAGGCGATGAAATTGATTTGGAAGAATAAATAAAGATTTTTCATTTTATAAACAAATTCACCTTATTTTTTTATCACAGTAGTATGACAATTTTAATCCTTACTAGTAGCAGTAATCTTCAAACGAGGAAGCGCCGTTTCGCTAGTGCAGAATTGAAAAGGATTATACAATTAATAAATGTATCGGTAACGCTATTATTCATACTGTGATATAACGTAACATATATATGTATATAAATAACGGGAAAAGAGAGAGACGCAGTAAAGAGTTCTCACTAAGAGAGAGAGAGAGAGAGGGAGAGAGATAAGAGGAACGTCGTGCAGTGTCCTCACCACCTCACCCTGCAGGGGTTCACAGGCGAACCTGAGGCTAGAGAGAGAGAATGAGGAACGTGTATTGTCGTCCTCGCCCCGCAGGGGATCACAGGCGAACCTCAGGTTAGAGAGAGCGAAAGAGAGACTCACAACCTCTTTCTTGATGCGTGAGATAAGTTTGATATGGCCGTGAATTTCGTTGTATTGGGTTGGCAACTAAGTGATTGCGGATTTTAAATAAGAATGAAAATTCAAAATTTTAAATTTGCTTTTTCAAATTTTTTTCAATGCATGTATGCGATACATTGAGCTTCTCTGCAATATCACGTGTTGTGCTATGACGATCTGAATCGATAATGGCCTTGATATGGGTCTCATCGACTTCAACTGGACGGCCAGATCGTTGAGCATTTTTCAATGAAAAATCACCAGAACGAAATCTGGCAAACCAATTTTGACACTGCCTTTTTTTCAAAGCTTCATTCCCATATACAGCACATAACTTCTTATGTGCTTGCGATGCGTTCTTGCCTTTTCGGAAATAATACAATAAAATATGTCTGAAGTGCACGTCTTGCTCTTCCATTTTTTAATTGGGATAAAAACAAAACTAAAGAACTAATCGATATAATTTTTGTACTAAATGAAAGGTAGAAGTCCAAACAATAAGAAAAAAATATAGGTTAGGTACTTTGAACACGTTAACGAAACAAAAGAAAGTGTAAAATCCATCTGTCGACAAAATCCGCAATCACTTAGTTGCCAACCCAATAGTATACGTTCACTTTGTTTCACCACACTGCCGATCGCGTTAGTCGTAACGCACTCGACAATTTACAACCACGCACTCAGCCAAGTGCCGAGAGCATGTCCGTTTAAACCGAGAGTATATGTCCGCATTTGTTTTCTTTACCGTACTTACGCGGCGTGCGCGAGCACTCGTGTTGTTGTTTTGAAGGTCGCACAATTACAACCGCCGATACGCGCTCGATAGCGTCGTTACATGTTTTCTCATGACGTAACAGATCTGAATAAAAGTTGTAGAGATTTAAGTGAGCTACCTCACGATGACATTGACTTTGACCTTCACCTCTATCTTCAAGGTCATTTGAAGGTCAACTTGCATTTTTTTAATGGGAACCTTTATTGTTTGTTACACTGCGTTTTTTCTACTAATTAATTTGACCAACTTTTGTCTAAAACATTTTCTTATTTGTCTAATATTTTTTTAGATATTTGAGGAAAACTTGATAACTTTTTCGATATTTAACTTACGATATCTCGCTAATTATTTGTCGGAAGAAAAAGTGTTACTAGAATTTCTTGCTTTATTTAGTCTCAAGAATATATTGTCACAATAGCGCCCTGATTTTTGTTAATTTGATGATTTTGAAATTTCTAAAAATCAGTAAGTTAACAAAAGTCAAGGCGCTATTGTAACAATATATTCTTGAGACTAAATAAAGCAAGAAAGTCTTGTACCATTTTTTCTTTCGACAAATAGTTAGCGAGATATCGTAAGTTAAATATTGCAAAAGTTATTAAGTTTTCCTCAAATATCTCAAAAAATATTAGACAAATAAAAAAATATTTTAGACAGAAGTTGTCCAAATTAACTATTAAAAAGTTAAACAGTGTAATAAAAAATGAGGGTCCCCATTTAAAAAAACGCAAGTTGACCTTCAAATGACCTTGAAAATAGAGGTCAAGGTCAAAATCAAGGTCATTATAAGGTAGCTCGCTTAAATTCCTACAACTTATATTAAGATCATTTTCCTTGAAACTTCAATACTGAAGAGTTATTTGGGGTAGGACATTAAAATGGGACACCCTGTATATTTATATTACTTATATAGTTTGGTTTCATGTGATGTTTAACTTTCTGTATTTCCTAGTTTCAAGCCACTATTTGAATTCGGCGTTGACTATT